CATCAGAGCCTGTCTATACCCAGTCTTCCTCTGCAATGGGTGGGATCACAACCCAATCCCCTTCCTGTTAGTAAGGGAATTAGAACACACAGCTAGCACACATGGGCTCCTAGTCTGTCTGGACACAGAAGCACTCAGGAAACACTCACTTTCTTACCACAGAAGAGAAAACCACCCGGCCTGTGGAGAGAGGTGAAAGGCAGGAACTTGCAGGTCTACTCTGGGTGAGGTGACTGACCTCAGCCAGCCTCCTACTCTGGAGCCTGATGCTGTGCAGGCATTTGGGGAGCCTGTTTTTATGGAAACAATGGAAGAGCTGAAATGATGAGAAATCTCACCAGCAGTAGCTGATGTGTGACATCAGAGACCAAAGGAGACTGGGAACATGCTCCAGCTGACTTGGTTAAGTGTCCTTGTGTAAGACCCTTGCTCAACTATGCTCATAGCAGCTTTATTCGCGATGGCCAGAACCTGGAAACAACCTAGATGCCCCTCAACTGAGGAATGGATAGAGAAAATGTGGTACATTTACACAATGGAGTGTTACTCGGCTGTTAAAAAAAGAACACCAAGAAATTTGAAGGCAAATGGGTGGAACTAGAAAAAAATCATCTTGAGTGAGGTACCCCAGACTGAGAAAGACAAACATGGTGTGTCCTCACTCATAAGTGGCTGTTAATTGTACAATTAAGGATGATTATGCTACTATACACTGACCCAGAGATACTAGGTAACAAGGAGGGTTCATGGGGGAAACTTCCAGATCTCCCTGGGGAGGGAAAATGGAAGAGATTTCCTAAGAGAATTGAGGGCTGGTAGGGATGTGGGCAGGAGCGATGAGGTTGGGGGATGGGGAAGAGGAAGAATACTGAAAGAGACTACTGAAAAAGTGTGTGTGTGGCGTATTCCATGGTCAGGCAGAACCTTGGCACAAGGGAATCCCCTAGGAATCCACAAGGATGACCCAAGCTAAGACTTGTAGCAATAGAAGATATGTAGCCTGAACTGGACATCTCCTGTGACCAGATTGGTGCCTAGCCCAGTTGTCATCAGAGAGGCTTCATCCAGCAACTGATGGAAACAGATGCAGACCCACAGCCAAACATAAGGCATAATTCAGGGGATCCTACAGAAGAGGGAAAGAAAGGACTGTAGGATCCAGAGAGGTCAAGGACGCCACAAAAAGCTCACACAATCAGCTCACCTGGCCTCACAGGGGAGACTGAACTGACAACCAGAGAGACTGCATGACTTAGCCACTCTGCATATTGGTATAATTGTGTAGCTTGGTCCTCTTGTAGGACTCCTGACAGTGAGAAAGGGGGCTGTCTCTGACTCTTTTACTGGCTTTTGGGACCCTACTCCTCATACTGGGTCACCTTGCCCAGCCCTAATACATGGGGAGGTGCTTAGTCTTACTGCAACTTGATATGCCGTGTTTTGTTGATATTCATGGGAGGTCTGCCTTTTCCTAAACAGAAACAGATCCTTGTGCAAACATCTGCTTATCTCCATTCCTCACAGCTTTTAAATGTTTTTATTAAATAGATACAGCAAAAATATCCTTCCTAATTTCTTATTTTCTTTCTCCTTTCATCTAGAACAAACAATGCTCACAGATAGGAACATTGGTGATGTTGCTTATTAATATTTTTAGCACCCAGACAAACATTTGACATCAGCTAGGCACTTAACAAACATTTGTTGAATGTACAATCCCAGTAATCCACGGAGGTGGGTTTAAAAGCTGGCCAAAACATACCTACATTGCTAAGACATGGGAGGCAGAGGCAGGGAGATCAGGAATTCAGTGCCAGCCTCAGCTACATTGTGACCTCAAGGCCAGAACTTGTGGCTGGATAAACGACCAAGTAGATGAGAATGCTTGCTCAACTCAATCTTGAGGATCAAAATTTGGATCACAGCACTCACATACCGAGCTGCTATCCTTGTCCAGCTCTGATGCAGGCTGAGACAGATCACTGAGGCTTCCAGGCTTCCAGCTGAGCCCAGAAATGTAGACTCCAGGTTCCCAGAGAGCTGCTGCTTCCAAGGGATGGGTGGAGAGTGGCAGAGGACATCAGAGCTCTCTGTGGCCAGTGCACACGTACAAGCATACATCCCTCCTGACAGGCATGTGCATTCACATACACACACACATGCACACACACAGACCACACATGTACACACACCACACCACACACGTATCACGTGCACATACCACGCATGCACAATTATACTCACATACACAGCACACACATACACATACCACACACACACTATACACACTATGCATATGCACACCACACATACAACATGCACCACATATACACAGTTACACACGCGAATGCATACCACACACATATACAATATAAACACATATATATGCCAGAGACACACACCACACACACATACACACCATACACACATACATATATACCACACAACTACGCAATAGTATAAACACACATATACACACCTCACAAGCACACACAGCACACATACACTACACAAACACCTACACATATCACACCACACCATACACTGCACAAATATACATGCACACACAGCACGAACACACATACAACACCACACCATACACCACACAAATACACACATACAACAGGAACACACATATACACACCACATCCCCCCTCCCACATAAATCTTAAAAAAATAAACACATGCTTAGAAGCTAGCCCCAAATTGCAAGTAGTTACTATTAGAGTTGGGATGAGTCAAGGCCTTTAAATGACCTGCAGCATGTCACACTTCTCACCTTAAGACAGCAAGCCACTATTATTTTCATTCCATCCTAAATGTCCCTGGGCTGTGACTGTCTCGTGGCCTGACACAGTCTCTAGTCCAATCTAGCTAGAAAAACCACTGGTGCACCGATCTGTGAGCGCTGTTTCTCTCGAGACAATCTGGGGTTCTCCAGCATCAGTAGCATCCTGGGAAAAGAGTGTCTGCCAGCATCTCCTCAGCCCTTCCTTTCATTCCTGTTAAACTGGTCTTAGCCTGTCCAGCTACACTGAAATCGAACCTTTATGTAATGTGCATCCTTTTCATTGTATTAAAATATTTTCTTTTCCATTGTCAACGTGTGTCCTGCGTGCTGGCTCCCAAGGCGTCTAGAAGAGGACATCAGGCCCTGGGAGGCGGAGCTACAGGCGATTGTGAGCTGCCCACCTGGATGCTGGGAACCGGATTTGCATCCCCTGAAAGAGCAACAAGTGCACTTGACTGCTGAGTGGGTGAAGTTGAGGACACGCTTGCTCCCAGGTGTGGCTGAGGAGAAGGTTTTGCTGTAGACTCCAGGGAGAGAACAGCCAGAGGCGTCTGGGGGGTGCGTAGGGGTGAGAGAGGAAGAAAAGAGACAGAGGGAGACTAAGAGAGGAGGAAGAGAGGAGCGGTGCAGACCAACAGGCCAAGAGCAAAGATAACCGGAGGGCACACAGCCAAATAGCTGAGTTATATAGCTATATAGCGACCAGAGAAGCGGCGGGGAGGAAAGAGAAGCCCAGCCCCTGGGTCCCAGAGGTCACATTAGGGTGGGAAGGGCTGGGAGAAACCACAGACATCCAGCGAGACTTTGTCTCGGGTGTCTTTGGGGACCCGACGCTAAGCATCTCTCCACTATCTTCATTGTCTTTCTTTTATACGTTTATTGTACTTTTGTGTGTGCTGTCCCTGTCCATGTGAGTGCGGGTCTGTGTCAGCCTTACCGGTTATTGCTCAGACATTATTCACCTTGGTTTTTGAGACAGGGTCTCTCTTCAAGCAGGCGAAGCTGGCTCCACACCAAGTGCCAGGGATCCGCCTAGCTCGCTCTCAGGTGTTGCGATTGTGAGTGCACACCAGCAGGCCGGCTTCTGCGAGGCGGGTTCTGGAGGTCAAAGCCAGAACTGAGGCAATGGGCACTGAGGGGGGGGAGAAATGGGGGCACAAGTCCCGTGCGGTTTGCTAAAGAGTTACTGTTTGCCCCCCAGAAATATGCAATAAGGTTTCTTTTCCTTTCTTCCTTCCTTTCTTCCTTTTCCCCTTTCTTTCTCTGTCTTTTTCTTCTTTCCTTCCTTTCTTTCCTCCCCCTCTCTTTCTTTCTTTCTTTCTTTCTTTCTTTCTTTCTTTCTTTCTTTCTTTCTTTCTTTCTCTCTCCTTTTTTCTTCAATTGCTCCTCCTCCCTCCCCCTTATCCCTCCCTCTCCCTCCCTCCCACTCCCTCCTTCCCTTCCTGTCTTTCTTCCCTTCCTGTGTTTCTTTCTATCCTTCTTTCCCTTTCTCACCCCAGTTTTTGTGGTGGCCTTTGTCTCCAGCAGTAAGTTTCTATTTCTCTAAAATATAGCCCATTTTCTCCACACGCACTGGGTTTCTCTGTACTGACCACACCACAAAGCACAGAGGAGGTCAGGGGACCCACTTTTACCCCAGATGATTAACAATTCCAGAGGCAGAAACATTGTCTCTGCTAGAGAAGGAGTACAGAGACATCTTTAGAGCAATGGAAAAGGGAAAGAGGGTGACTTGCCAGGTAGGGTATCTTAAATGCAAAGAAAACTCCAGATCCAATAAAGCTGATGGTTTCCCTGCTCTGGGGGCTCCCTTTCTATATAAGAAGTCTGCAAGGCTTTCCCAAACACACAACTAACTCTACATGGTCTTGTTTCTCTGTCTTTTAATTCTTTAACTGACAGAGATACAGAACCCACCTGGCTATGGTGCCTTTATTTTCCTGGCTGGGCTACCTCTCCAACCCTCTATGCACAACTGAATTCATCAAGTGGGCAGTTATCCAAGTACAGGAAGCTTGTCTTCTTAATCAGAAAAGAAAACAAAGAAAACCTGCAGGCCAGTAACATGGGAGTAACATCAAGGGAGTTCTCTGGGGTCTTTTGATAAGATGTTGCAATCGGAGTCCAGGCTACTGAGGAGTTAACTGAAATCACAGGTCAGGAAGGAGGAGCCCCCGCTCGGGCTCCAAGTGGCTAATCTTGGAGTCTGTTTCCAAGATTATAACCAGTTTTATGCAACCCTCAGAACCAAAGAAACTTTAACAAAGGATTAAACATTATGTAAACAAAGATCCTTTGATTTACCCCTCCGCCTCTCCAAGGGACAGGAGGCTCCTGCCCACATTCCACAGTGCTTGTCTCCTGCCAGTCACTCAGTAGGTAACTAACATATGGCAGCATTGATGAGCTCACAGACCAGAAGCAACCGTCAATGGGAATGGTGAAGGATGCTCAGGTAAACGTCCTTCATTTCCTCTGGGTGTTGTGGGGGATGCAATCCAGCAATTTTTTTTTGCTTGGGAAAACAGAAGGCAGATTTAATCCTAAATTATAAATTTAAGATTCTCTGAGTTTTCTAATATCTGGCCTTTACATTCCTGATAGCAACAGCAACTGTTCTTAACAGTGGATTTATTCTATGCAATGCAGCATGGTTGTTCGTCTGTTCCTACACAAAGTTTGGTGTGCCTGGAGTTTTTAAGTGTGTAGCTAAAAGTGGTTTGGTGGATTAGAAGGGAGTCTGTCTGAATCTCAGGAATGTTGTTTTCTTTCTGCTTTGCCAGTCGGTGTCCTGGAAGGCCGCTCCTTCTTTATTCAGCTGCTCTATATCACACTTCCTAATTCTTACACGCCTTGATCTCTCCATAGGTTCTTATCTCTATCCCTTCAAGTCCAAAGCCCAGAGCTGTGACCGTCCGTGCTGTCCACACACACTACGGAAAGTCACACACATGGGCATTTACGCTGAAAATGAAAAAAAACAAAAACAAAAACAAAAACAAGATGATTACTCAAACACAAAACATAGTCGGCTGCTGCTTATCTTCATATTTCTTTCTGTATTCACGAAGAATGTATGATAGCATATGTCATTGCTTGCAACCATAGACATGTTCCCCTTTTGTTCGTGAGTTTAAGGCCATCTGATAGTCAGGATTTGTTGCTGCTGTCATTTGATGCTGCACTGTGGAAAGCTTTCCCTGTCAGCGTGCTTGGTCATTAGGTGACAACAGGTGTGCCCCCCCCCAAAGTGGAATCACAGAAGCCTGGTGTCCCACCACTCCGCGCCCTGCCACTAAGTATTCGGCACCTTCTCATTTCCTTCAGTTTCCTGTGCAAAGCCAGAGGTGCATGCTGCTTGGGGAGCATTTTCTCAGCACGTAGCAAACCTGTGAAATCCCACGCTGGTCATTTCCTCATGTGCTTCTTTCCCATTTATAGAGCTTTCTTCTCTCCCACGTTAGAGTCACAGACTTTGCTTTTCATATGTCTCAGGCATTTCCCTATGACATCATTTTTGTGCTGTGTATTGTGTTCCCAAGCCTGTGCGTTATTGTGTTAGTATGCAGTAGGTCCACATTTTTTCCCCACTATGCTTTTTGTTTGTTTGGCTTATATTGTTTGTGTGCCCCCACCACCTAAAAATATATTTTTAAAGACGACTTTCCTCAGCTTAGTATTTCCCTAGTGTTTTTGTAACTTTTATTTTTATTAAAATCGCCAATCTCTTGGCTTTTAAGTTTTTGAGCATTATATTGTCCAGGGCCATCTCTCTTCTGTTTTTGCCCCTAGAGGGGGCCTGGATACATGATGAAGACCATTTATTAATAGGGTTCTCTTCTCCTGCTATCTTACTCTTACCTATTATACCTCCTTTGACCCGGGTTCTGGGCAGCAGCCTGCTTGTCTGTATCCGCGCTCAAAGCATACCATTTTAATGAGAGCAGTGTCATGATCATGGATCTCACACATGGCAGTGCCTACCATCTTTTTTTGGTATTGATAGGCATATCTGACATATCTATTCTTTGTTACATAACTTTTAAAGTTGTTTCACTTTATCTTTTGAAACTTTACATTAATTGGCTCATTAATTACTGATCTGTGTGTGTCTGAGTGAGTGTGTATGTGTGGTGCATGTAGCATGTGTATGTACACACCAAGGAAATCAGTTCTGTCCTCCCAGTGCCTGGCTTCCAGGAATGGAATTCAGGCTGTCAGGCTCGTCTGTAAGTGCTTTACCTGCTGGCCCATCTCATCAGCCCTAAACTGTGTGTTTTGTAAGTGTTCATAATTTCCTACAATTAAAGCAATGCTTCCTTTATTAACACACACACACACACACACACTTCACACACACACTTCATTTCTTGTCCTAATAGGCTAGAAACACTGCTTTGCTGTGTAATTCTGGTGCTGTTGTGGGGGTGACTTACTTCCCTCGTGGATGCTGGAAGAGTAAGATTTCTGCTATGATGTTTTTATCTTCTTCCATTACTAGCACAGGGTGAGGAAGGGATTTGTTGTTATTTCATACTTGTCCTTTCATACATTGACCACCATTGAGTAAAAGACTATTTCTAAGTGCTAGCAATATCTGAATACCTAAGGTTGTCATGTGTAGGGTGTAGTTTTTCCCACCAGTTGCCTGGGCCCTGCTGTGCTGTCTGGACCCCCAAATAACACACAGGACATTATATATATTAATTATGAAGCTGTTGGCTGTTTGCTTGTTTCTTACTGGCTAGTTCTGACTTAAGTATTTAACCCATAATTGTTAATCTAAGTATTTCTCTTACCGGAGAAAAGGGTCCGAACCTCTTACTCCTCTGGTGGCCTAGGTGGTGTCTGACTCTGTCTCTTTCCCAGAATCCTCCTTGACTCCTAGTCCCACCTATCTTGCTTCCCTATTGGCCAACAGTGCTTTATTCAACAACCAATAAGAGAGACAGAATTACAGAATGACATCTCCCATCAGTCACGTATGCTTCTGGATCAACTAAGTTACGTTCTCATTGCTGTAATCAAATACCCAACAAGAAGAAAATTAGAGGGAGATGGGGCTTATTTTTAGCTGATGGTTTAAGGTAAAGTTATTCATGGTGGCTTATGCAGGAGTGGCCCATTGTTGGACCAGCAGACAGATGGGACAAATTGGGCAAAGACTAGAAACCACAAGGCCACCCCCTCAGGGCCTGCTTCCTTCAGACGGGTTTCATGTCCTAAAGGTCTCACAGCTTCCCAAACAGCATGGCCAGCTGAGCCTGCAGACAACATTCTCATCCATGACAGCACAAGAGGGGGCTTTTTATGGCATGCTTTATTCTTCCCCAAGCTAAGTCTGTAGAGCTGTCCAGAACCCCACTCAGGGGACACTCGCTGAAGTTGCTGCCTTGAAGTGAAGTCACAATTCATGCCTTTCTTCAGCTGCTTCACCAAGCTGACCTGAAAGATCGGGAAGATGCTTGAAGACTCACTCAAGTGATGGATGTCCTCCAAAAGGCTCCAAGGATTTCATCCTCAGGTTTGTGAAGTGTTGCCTTGTCTGTGGGTGCAACAGTTCACCACTTCAAGAAACCCTTGACTGAACTTTTTTTTTCTGTGAAGATCATCACTGAATCACAGCTGGATTAGACTTACTGAGCAAAAGTATCGATGCAAAAACAAAGGTCTCATCCAAAAAGGGATAAGGGACAGTTTAGTCTGGAGCCAAATATGAGTGACCGTGGCTTACAAACACAGACTTAGGTTACCCCAAGGTCCATGCTCCAATGTGGAAACAGTTTGTAGCAACTGAACAAAGAAAATCACAGACCAAGTCACTTTACAAATACATTAGTGGAAACATTAGGTAGGAGGATTAAAACAAATTGGAGACACCTCTGCTGTAGGCCTGGATAAGTTTTCTGGCAGTGTTGTTAGCTTTTCGGTTTGTTATAAAGCTGGCACTTTGTGCATTTCTAATGATTTATCCAATGAGCACAAAACTATCAGGCCAGACACACAGGATGGCAGCACACAGCTGTTAAGAGGGATAAAAATGGCCCAAGACAATTTGTCTCTGGACCTGCCATGCTATAACCTCTCCACAGCCACTGATGTTCTAATCAGTTCACTGGCTTTGCAGAAGTTTCTGTTGTTCACAAAGGACAAAGGGCTCGTTTTTAGTTCTTTTTTTTTGTATGAAGATCTAATTTTATAAGTGCCCCTTAAAAAAGCAGAGTCCCATTAGTATGTGATAACCTGGAACTCACTATGTAGGACCAGATTAGGCTCGAACTTGTAGCAATTCTCCTGTCTCTGCCTCCTGAGTGCTGGAATAACAGACATGCTCCACCAAGCCCTGTTCACTTGAATTCTTCAAAGTTGAATATTCAAAAAAGGTGCTGAAATACTGAAGATTAGTGGTGAATGCAAATTTACTTCACGTTTATTGAAAGCAATCAAAATTCACAGATGTGTTATTTGGTCATGAGAATAATTCCTTTATTGATTTCTGAGAAATATTTTTAAATATATTATCTAATTTATGAAAGGATTGGTGACCACACTTCTCCCACTTAGAGGACGTCAACTCTGAGTAAATAATTAGTTGGGTATATCTAATGTGGGACTTCCCTACTCCCGAATAAGTTAAAGGAAGGTGTATTTACTTCAGTTAACTTCTAATTTTTTAAATCTGGAAGTCTCTGAGATGCTTCAACACATATTCAAGATGGATTGAAAAACAGCTTTTGGAGAATTTTGTATCTAGATTGATTAGACATTTTCTTCATGAATTCACAGTGCTTTAAAAAGTTAGAGTTTGTCTTCCGTCCAAGTGCTAACATCCCCTGAGCAAGAGTGTCCATGTTAAACAAAGGAAACAGCTTCCTAAGGCTTAGGGTGCTGTCACTTCAATGGTTTTGGAGAACATTTACTTTCCTTCCATAAACATGCAGGCATTATGCTTTTAAGAGTGCAGTGAATCCCCAGCTGGAAAATTAACTACAAAGCAAAAGTATTTTTGCTCCTACTACATAGGACACTTACAGGAAGCCTGGCCTCATGGGATGTTCCTGGCGGAAGAAGCAGAGTGAGCTCTTTGATGAAGGGGAACGAAGGAATGAACATTTAAGAAGGTGATAGATGAGACTTTCTTCTGAAATGTAGGAGAAGAAATCATGCAAGAGGAGAGTGGGAAAACAGACAAACATGATGTCTAAACTGCGGGCACATTTTAGATTGGTTTTGTAAGTGGTTTTGTTGGAAGGAAACAGAAAATGGATTTCCTTAAACTTATTAATATCCAGGTGGGAAACGTGACTCCTAAATATTCTCATATCTTAGAGCACAGGATCCTAAACTCTCAGTGGGCTTCACAGCCAGTGGATGTAATGGGTCCTGGTGTAAGGGAAGAAATGATTGCTGCAAATTGTCTTTGGACCTCTACCTAGCAACATGTGCGTATGCATGAATGAATGACTGAATGAATGAATTCTGAAAGCTCTCTGTGTTTATACAGATGGAAATCTTTTAGTGAGAGTTGGACTGTGTTGTTTTCCTAGCTCTATGAGGCAGTAACAGAGCTCCTTCTCCTGACCCCAAGTCCAGTAAGCATGACTTTAAGAAGCATACTCTAAGTCCCTATGTGTGTTTCCTGAAGTTTGAAAGTTACTGGGCACTGATGTCAGATTTGTGGTTAATGAATCTGGACCAAAGCTTCTGCCTGGGTGGAGCTCAGTTGATAAGAATGCTTGCATATCCTGAAGGAAGCCCTGGGTTTGAACCCCAGCACAGCATAAAATCAGGTGTGGTGGTGCACAGCTGTCAGCTCAGCACTCAAGAAGTGGAGATAGGAAGGCCAGAAGGTCAAGGTCAGGGCTGGAGAGATGGCTCAGCTCTTAATAGCCCAGCACTGGCTTTTCCATATACGTTTTCCCAGAGTAGAGGGTTTGCAACCCAGTACAACTGGTGGCTTACAGATCATGTGTAACTTCAGTTCAAGGGATCAAATGCTCTCTTCTGGCCTCCATGGACACTGCATGCTCACGCTGCCCAGGCAGGCATGCAGGCAAACTCACATATGTGTAAAATAAAAATAATTAATGAATCTTAATTAAAGATGTTCAAAGTCATCCTAATTTAGTAAACTTGAGGTCATCGTGGGATACAAAGAATCCCATCTTTAAAAATGGATATGGCTGATGCAGACATCACATCAGATGCAATAAAGAAGAATATATTTAAAGAATCTGTCTGTCTATATATCATCTATCTATCTATCTATCTATGATCTGGCTATCTATTTTGTGTGCAAGGGTGTTTTGCCCACATGCATGTCTGTGTACCATATGTGTGCATATAAAGGCCAGAAGAATAGTTTGGATCCTTTAGGACCGGAGTTACACACGGTTGTGAGCTGCCATGTGGATGCAGGGAATCAATCCTGGGCCCTCTTTAAGAGCATCTGGCGCTACTAACTGCGAAGCCATTTCTCCAGCTTCATGAACAAGGTCTATGTTTAAAAAGGTCCCCTTATGCAGTTAGGGCCAGAGGGCTAACTGGTAGGAGTTTGGGGCTGTCTTAGACAAGAACTGAACTGTATGGTATAGTGACACAAGCTCAAGAGAAAGTAGCTACAGCTGCAGGAGAAACTGTATGTCAATCAGAAGAGATGCATTCACCAGGAAGGTGAAGAAGGAGGGCTGAGATCTTCAAAGGTTCCCACAGTGCTACTGTGAACAGAAGGAGTCAGATCTGAACACTGGCCCCCAGCCTAGGCAGGCAGGGAGGACAAGTCTGTTTCGTCAAACCCTCCCCTGAAAGCTGGAACCACGAAGTTAATTGAGTCTCTTTGTTCAACTTGGGAGAGAGTAAGCATTAGGTGAAAGGAACAACTGTGATGGAGAAAACTAGATAATCTGAAATTTGAAAATTTTAATGTATTTTATTTTTATGTGCATGTGTGTGTGTGTGTGCTTGCATGAGTTCATGTGCGCAGTGTTATATGCAGGAGTCTGAAGAGGCCAGAAAATGGTGATAGATTATCTGGAAGTAGAGTTGTAGATGGTTAGGAACTTTATGTTGATGCTGGGAACTGAACCCAGGTCCTCTGCAAGAATAGCCAGTGCTCTTAGCCACTGAGCCATCTCTTTCCCATGGCTCTGTCATGGTGGAGAGGTGGGGCTGTGTGCATCCTCAGGCTAGCTAGCCAGCCAGTCTTGCCTACCTGTGAGTTTGATTTAATGGTGGATAGTTGCTAATGTTTTCCTAGAAAACACTGGAAAGAAAAGTGTATGCATGGTCGGGGAGAGAGAGAGAGAGAGAGAGAGAGAGAGAGAGAGAGAGAGAGAGAGAGAGAGAGAGAGAGAGAGAAGAGCCCTAAAGCTTTTCTGATGCTACACCCACAATAAGAAAACCACAGGGTAGCCAGAGTGACGAGGACAACAAGTCAACTTTATATCCTGTTACCTTTAGGTCCCATAGATAGAAAACTGATTTACTTCAGGCTGCTGATCACAGTGACCAAGCTCTTTGTTGGAGGAAACACAGTGTATTATCCACCTTGCATGACTCAGGCCTCTGCAGCTCACGTACCCAAAGGACGACCTGTACTGGAGATGAGGTCAACCTCAGACATTAAGGAAGCTCAGCACATTGTATCTCAAATCAGCCACCCTGGGCAGTCCTTGAACTGGGGTGTATGCTTACAGTGGTGACCTCCAGTGAGGTTCTCGCTGCATCCAAATGTATCCCAGAACCGAGGTCTGTAGCATTTTACCGGCTGTAGCTGCTAGAATCTCCCAAACATCTTGAACTGTGAGTGTTCTTCATTTCTCACTGTTTCTCCCGGAAGGCTTGGAAGCAAGCTGGGAGCAAGTGTGAGAACTGTTGATTGGTATTTTCCTTCAACATTCCGTGGTCTGAACAATAATATTTTTCATAGCATTATATTCATAATATTCTAGAGTGCAAAAATGTGCTGCTATCCTGTCAAGTGTTGCTGCTTGCTGAAGGCCTCTGCTGCGCTTTGTCCTGCTTTCTTGTTTCTTTGTATGTATGTGTGCATATCACTATTTCTTGTACAAATGAAGACACTGACGCTAAAAAGGTTAGGAATGTACACAAAGGTTTGAAAACACCCAGGATGCTCAGAGAGCTCAGCCTTGTTCCCTAAGCCCACGCTGCTCAGCATGCTGGACGACGACGACGACTACTACTACTATTATCATTATTATTTTCTAGTACTTTCTTCTGGACCTCACAGCTCATATGGAGCCTTCCTCCATCATTTATCATGGACCCTAACCCTGACAATTCCTTCACAGCTCCTAGCTAGTTGCTAACTAACTTCAAATACTACTTGGTAAGAACTTCCCCTGCCAGAGGGATGTTTCTTTTACCTTGAGGATCTTGAATTTCAAAGCTCTTGTATGTGTCAGAAATTAATCCTCAGCGCTCCACACAAGTCCCTTGGTTTTGTTTTGAGATGGGTCTTTCTGGAAAACACAGGCCTGCCTTGAGCAATCCTCCTGCCTCAGC